GGCAGAGGGAGAGGGAGAAGTAGACTCCACTGAGCATGGAGCCCAACATGGGGCTTAACCCCAGGACCCCGAGATCATGACCTAAGCCAAAGTCAGACGCTTAACTGACTGAGCCACCCAGGTGCCCCTCATCTCATTGTTTTAAACAATTTGAGTACATGCACCTCGGGATAGTTTCCTTCATGTTTCTGGTACTTGAGCAGCTTAGACATATGGATTTATAGTTTTCACCAAATTTGGAAATTTCTCAGCCATTATTTCTTCAAATTTTTTTCCATCTCCATTTCTCTCTTCTCTCCTTGGGGATTCCAATCACACCTTCCCTACCCCACTCCCCACACTGAGCTTCATTGAGATATAATTGACATATAACATTGTATAGGTCTAAGGCATACAACATCACGATTTGAAATATGTTTATAATGCAAAATGATTGCCACAGTAAGGTTAGTTAACACATCCATCATCACTCATAGTTACCTCTTATATATATGCGTGTGTACAATGAAAACTTTTATTTTATTACTTTTTAAAGTAATCTCTACATCCAGCACGGGGCTCAAACTCATGACCCTGAGATCAAGAGTCGTATGCTCTACTGAGCCAGCAAGGTACCCCTGATGAACACTTTTAAAGTATACTCTTTTAACAATTTTCAAATATATAACACACTATTGTTAACTATAGTCACCATGCTATACACTAGACCCCCTGAATTTACTCATCTTATAACTGGATGTCTATACTCTTTGAACACCTTCACCTGTTTCTCCCACACTCTTGCTCCTGGCCACCATCAATCTACTCTGTTTCTATGATTTCAGGTTTTTTTTAGATTCCACATACAAATGAGATCATACAGTATTTGTCTTTCTCTGACTTATTTCACTTAGCTTGTAGCAAATGGCAGGATTTTCTTCTTTTTTATAGGTGAATAACATTCCATTGTATCCTATTTTTTTTTAAAGATTTTATTTATTTATTTGACAGACAGAGATCACAAGTAGGCAGAGAGGCAGGCAGAGAGAGAGAGGAGGAAGCAGGCTCCCCGCTGAGCAGAGAGCCCGATGTAGGGCTCGATCCCAGGACGCTGGGACCATGACCCGAGCCGACGGCAGAGGCTTTAACCCACTGAGCCACCCAGGCGCCCCTGTATCCTATTTTCATACATATTTTCTTTATCCACTCATCTGTTGATGGACACTTATGTTGTTTCCACAGCTCGTCTACTGTGAACAATGCAAGGAACATGGGGGTGGAGATATCTCTTCAAGATAGTCCAATCACAGGTACAGTAGGCCACCTGAAGTTGTCCCACAACTCACTATTATTCTATTCACTTTTTTTTTTTTAGATTTTACTTATTTATTTGACAGGCAGAGACCACAAGTAGGCAGAGAGGCTGGCAGAGAGAGAGAGAGAGAGAGAGAGAGAGGAGGAAGCAGGCTCCCTGCTGAGCAGAGATCCTGATGTGGGGCTCAATCCCAGGACTCTGGGATCATGACCTGAGCCGAAGGCAGAGGCTTTAACCCACTGAGCTACCCAGGTGCCCCCACTCTATTCACTTTTTATGTTTCTCTCTCTCTCTTTTTTTAAATCTGTTTTAGGTAGTTTCTATTACTATGTCTTCAAATCTATTATTCTTTTCTTTTGCACTGTTTGAAATGCCATTAATTTTATCTAGAATCTTTTCTATCTCATACACTGTAGTCTTAATCTTCACAAGTTTAATGTTCTCCTTTTATATATCTTCCATATCTGTACTTAATTTTTTGAACATATGGAATACAGCTATTGTAACTGTTTTCATAGCCCAATTCGAACATCTGGGTCAGTTCTGGATTGGTTTTGATTGATTCATTTATCTCTTCATTACAGGCCATATTTCTCCCCATCATTGCATCAAATTTTTTATTAGAATCAAGACACTGTGATTTTGATATTGTTGGGTACTGTATTCCTATAAGAATTCTTGAGCTTTGTTTGTATGCAGTAAAGTTACTTATAAACAGTTTGACCTTTCAAGGGTCGTGCTTTTAAGATTTGTTAAACAGGACTGCCAGGATGTTCCTTCTAGGGCTAAATATTCCCCCACTACTGAGTAAAAGTTCTTCTGTTTACTCTACTGAACGCCCAATGAATTATGAGGCTTTTCCTAGCATGGTTGCTGGGAACAAACACTACCACTGGCCCTATGTGAGTGTCTGACATTGTAACCTCTAATTTTTTCATAAGGTCTTTTACCAGAAGCAAGTAGTTTCCTCACAAAAATGCACTAATCAGTACTCGACTATGAACTTGAGGGGAACCTTTTATGGATCTCTGGAGTTGTCTCTGTGCAGCTCTCTCTATACTGCCTTGTCAATTCTGGTGACCTTCGTCTTCCCAGGATTTCACGTTCATTTCCTAAACCCAAGCAGTCCACTAGGCTCTGCTTGGGTTCTTGCTCCCTATGTTACAGCTCGAAAACTCTCCAAGGCAATAAGCTGGGACAGTCATAGAGCTCATCTTATTTATTTTCCATTAATTTCAGACATCACTGCCCTCACTGCTTGGTATTCAATGATCTTTCCCATTATTTCATATATTTTGTCTATTTCTTGGTTATTTCAAGTGGGAGAGTAAATCTGGTCCCTGTCCTCCAACTTGGTGAGGGCATTAAGTCCTATTATTACATATTTTGATTGAGTAAAATTTATGATTTCAAAAACACAGCATTTCCATTTTGACCTACTGAACAGCAGTTTCATATGCTTCAATCTAATATTATGCCTTTTTCAAAGAACGTGAGAGGTTTTAATTAAATATATCAAATAGCCCTACCTAAAAATGAATTGAGATTCATTTGAAGTGCTTTATTCATTATGACTCTGTTTAAGGCTTGTATTTATTTTCAAATTGCTCACAAACCATCACAAACTCCTTACAAAACATTTTATTGCCACCATAACTCATTTAATTTGAACCCATTGTTCTATGTGCTGCAGTCACAAATTTTATCTCATAGAATAGTTAAGATCTCAATCTAAATACATAAGTATCAATCATTCCCTACATATAAATTTCCTTCTATCCAGTTATACTCCTCAATACCACTTCTTGAGACAAAGTTTCTCTACACAAAGGATTGGGCCACAGTCTCAACTCAGCTAGGCAGAAAGAAATAGCATCTCATATATTAGGAAATCAACTTCTAATTATCTATGTGTCACAAATGAGACATCTATTTGAAATGAAAAAGTAAATTCACTTAAAGGGCTTATAATTAGGGATTAGAAAATTGGGAAATAGAAAATTAAGATAAAGAAAAGCTTGTCAATCAATCCAGAGTGGCATCCTTTGCCTGCCCAGTTTTCTAGTTACAATTAATCTGCACATACCCCAATCTCATCCCAAGATGGTGGGTATGTGATCTCTTTTTGGGTACTCCTATGCAAAAAAAATTTCCATTTTCTTAAAATGTTGTAGGCAATTTTACTAAGTAGGTTTAAATATGATTCCAATCCATGTCACAATAAGCCAAGAACCACATTTAAATTTGAAACCTATTATTTAAAATTTTAAAAGCCTCATTCAGAATTCATGACTCAGTGAAGGAAAGGAATGAGGAAAAAAGCAATGAGGTCTTTCTACATGTGTAAATGTACTGAGACTGCCATATAAGTGAACATGTTTATTTAAACTGTAATATGTGTGCAAAAAAACAGAACACAGGAAGAAACTTGGTGAATGGGGGTCAAGATAGGTGGACGCTTATCATTGTACACCTTTTTATATCTCCTATATTTTGAACGATGAGAATATAATCACCTATTCAAAAAATTTGAATAATTAAATAATTACTTGATAAACAAGTAATTAAAATAGGTGAAGAAATTGGCCTAAACCACAATTATAAACTGTCATCATAAATGACTCCAAGTATATCTATTTTGCCTCTTTTATATTCACATATAGATTATAATCTTAAGAATGAAGATGGTGTTTGTCATAATTTCTTAACAGGAATTATCTGAGTTGTTAAAACAGAATTTTGGGTCCAATCTAGATCTACTGAATTAAGCTTTCCGAGGAAGACATAATCTGCACAAAAAGTGGCCCCAAGTGATTCTTACCAAAAGTCAGAGAACCCATTAATTAAGGAATAAAATTCATTTCTGGAAAGAGCAACAACTTTATAATTAGACAACCCTGGATATATCTCTTGGCTCTTCCATTTATCTGTGTGATCCTGGATAATTTACCTGGCCTCTTTGTGCCTCAGTTTCCTTATCTATAAAATGGAGAAATAATACTTCTGGAGTTGTTATAAAGACTGATCTGGGGGGAGGGGGGTATGAAGAGGGTAGTTGGGTTATGGACATTGGGGAGGGTATGTGACATGGTGAGTGCTGTGAAGTGTGTAAGCCTGACGATTCACAGACCTATACCCCCAGGGGCAAATACTACATTATATGTTAATAAAAATAATAAAAAACATAAATCACACACACACAAAAATGGATCTATGCATGGGTTTGGGACATAATCTTTATCTAATGCTTAATTTTACCTTGCTTCCTTAAAAAAAAAAAAAAGAAGATATGTGACATACAGATATCCAATAAATATCAGCTTCCTTTCCTCCCACATCCAAATTATACAGGTGTTGATTTATAGGTCACTCAAACAATACTGTCAAATGCTGCTGAAGCAGTATTTATAATCATTAACCTTCTCAAAGATATATAATTTTCTTAGTTATGAAACTAGGAACAATTCTAACAAAAACCATTCTAACTAGCTCAGTTCAGTTGGCTTATTACTGACAAGCTTGACACATTATCACTCATTTTTTAAATAATACTCCCATCCTACCTAAAAAAAAAAGTTACTTTATACACTTTAACAAAATGAATAAAAAGTACAATGTTGTCTTGTCTATTGTTTTTCCTTAATCAAAATGACAGCATTCCTAAAATAATTTCTCTCAAAAAAAAAAAATCCTCTAATAGTTATACCTCTGTTATGTTTCTCTCTCTTAATGAAGCCAACTCATATGGATCCACAAAAAGTCCCGTCGGGATGTACTGTTTAATTAAGAGTCGGCAGGTCTGTAAGTCCTCAATGCTTTCTCCAAATTTCACTTTTATTAAAAGGTCTCTGTAAGAGAAGCATGTTTAAAATATATCTCTTCATTCAGCTGTTAAATGAGATAGCATAACATTACATTCAAATTAGTGGAAACACTGTATTTCAAACTCAAAATCTATTTTCAAAACATTATAAAGTCAAGTAAGTATTTATTTCATGTCAGAATCACTCAATTAGATCTTTCATAAATTTCTGTCAAGAGCCACAGTTTAGTATTAGTATGAAAGCAGACAACAATCAACAGAAAGAAATAGTCTAAAAATAGGCATACACCTATTTATATGGCAATAAAGGGGCCAACATGATTTGATGGGGAGAAGAGAGTCTTTTCACCAAATGGTACTGAAACAAATACCTATGTAGAAAAAATGAACCTTGGGACGCCTGGGTGGCTCAGTTGGTTGGACGACTGCTTTCGGCTCAGGTCATGATCCCGGAGTCCCGGGATCAAGTCCCACATTGAGCTCCCAGCTCCACAGGGAGTCTGCTTCTCCCTCTGACCTTCTCCTCGATCATGCTCTCTCTCACTGCCTCTCTCTCAAATAAATAAATAAAATCTTTAAAAAAAAAAACTCTTAAAAAAAAAGAAAAAGAAAAAATGAACCTTGACCTCAATCTCATACCATATACAAGTATTAATTTGAAATAGATTATAAACCTAAATGTATAATTATCCCAGCTTTCTGTCTGAAGCACATTTGGGACCAAATGCAAGGAAGGAAATCCAAAGCACAACATGGTGGTTTTGCTTAAATTATAAAACAGAGACAGAAGTTAAGAGAGACTAAAGTGGCTGGAAGTCAAGGTGCTAAATTCCAGAGAGGAGGGAACTATGCAGAAAGAGTTCTATAAATCTGAGTTGGACTCCCCTTGATTTTTTATTGAATAGTAAGAAAAGCAAAAGCAAAGTGTAATTCCAAAAGATGGTGCAAAGAATGACCAGGGAACTGAATATGAGAAATTTGAAAATTTCACAGTTGGGAGAAATTTGCATTCCAACCAAAGTATTGAGATCACAGCTTTTGGTAGAGACACCAATAGGGTAAGGCCTTAGTGGCTAAATTAGCCTTGTAGTAAAGGCCACTTTAACTTTAGACCCATACAAAAAAAGGTTAACATAATCAAGCTGATAAGTAACTTAACTGCTAACAGAAAAAATAAGAAAAACACACTAAAAAATGCTCGTATCTACAACATTCACACTGTTCAGTATCCCATCAAAACTCACTAAACATATGGGGTGCCTGGGTGGCTCAGTCAGTTGGGCGTCCAACTCTTGGTTTTGGCTTGGGTCATGATCTTGGAGTTGTGAGACTGAGCCCTGAGCTGAGTTCCATGCTCAGCACAGAGAATGCTTGGGATCTTTTTTCTCTTCCTCAGCACAAGCACACTCTCTTCCCCTCTCTCTAAAATAAATATATAAGGCACCTGGGTGGGTCAGTCAGTTAAGTGTCTGCCTTCGGCTCAAGTCATGATCCCAGGGTCCTGGGATTGAGCCCTAAATCAGGCTCCCTACTTAGTAGGCAGTCTGCTTCTGCCTCTGCCCCTCCCCTTCACTTGTGAAGGGCTCTTTCTGGCTCTCTCTCTCTCTCTCTCTCTCTCTCAAATAAATAAACTCTTAAAAAAATAGATAAATTAAATCATTTAAAAAAAAAAGTCACTAAAGATGCAAAAAAGTAGGGAAATGTGACCAATAAACAAGAAAGAAATTGTTCAGTAGAAACAGACATAGAAATGACAGAAGTGACAGAATTATCAAAGGATGTTAAAAATCCTCTTATATATGCCCAACACGTTCAAAGGTTTAAAGAAAAATACGAACACTGTGAGAGAAAGAGAAGAGATTTTACATCTATATATATATATTTTTTTTTCAGCATAACAGTATTCATTGTTTTTGCACCACACCCAGTGCTCCATGCAATCCGTGCCCTCTCTAATACCCACCACCTGGTTCCCCCAACCTCCCACCACCCGCCCCTTCAAACCCCTCGGATTGTTTTTCAGAGTCCATAGTCTCTCATGGTTCATATATATTTATATTATATTTATAATTTATAAATTTATAATTTATATTCTATATAAATTTTATATATAGATATTTTATAAAATATTTTATAAAATATTTATAAAATTTTATATAGATATAAACAGACAACAATCAACAGAAAAAATAGTCTAAACATAGATATACACATATTTATATATTTATAAATAAATTATAAATATAATATAAATATATGTATATATTTATAAATTACAAATTTATAAATATAACATAAATATATATTTATATACTTATATTTATGATTTATTTATAAACATAAAAATAAAATTCTATATTTCTATATTATATATATGATTTTATATATGAGATATTTATATATTATATATTATATATATTCTATACACACATATACATACATATATAATATACATATATTTTTATATATAATATTAAATATTATATTAAAATATTATATTAAAATATTATATTAAAATATTATATTAAAATATAATATTAAAATATTTTAAGACATAATGGTTGAAAATTTTCTGAATTTCATGAAATTTCATGAAAACTATAAGTCCATAAATCCAAGATATTCAACAAATCCCAAGCAGGATAAACATAAAGAAAACCACACCAAGGGGCACCTGGGTGGCTTAGTGGGTTAAAGCCTCTGCCTTCGGCTCAGGTCATGATCTCAGGGTCCTGGAATCAAGCCCCGAATCGGGCTCTCTGCTCAGCAGGGAGCCTGCTTCCCCCTCTCTCTCTGCATGCCTCTCTGCCTACTTGTGATCTCTGTCTGTGGAATGAACAAAATCTTGAAGGAAGGAAGGAAGGAAGGAAGGAAGGAAGGAAGGAAGAAAGAAGGAAGGAAGGAAGGAAGGAAGGAAAGAAAGAAAGAAAAAGAAAGAAAGAAAGAAAGAAAGAAAGAAAACCACACCAAGACATATTATCAACCAGTCACTAGAAAAAAAAAAATCTTAAAAGCCATCAGAGGAAAAAGAAGCATTATGGAGAATAACAAAGAACAAACCAGAGGACAATGGGACAAAGTATTTAAAGTATTAAATGAGAAAAGGCTATCAATATAGAATTATATATCCAAAAGGAGAACCCTTCAAAAATAAAGGCAAAAAAAAAAAAAAAAAGCTAAAACAAATATGAACTAAGAGAATTTGTCACTGCAAGAACGGTAAAGGAAATTCTTCAGGCAGAAAGAAAATGGTATCATTTGGAAATAGGGAAAGACAAGAAAGAAGAGCAAATGCTAAATATGTGAGTGAATATAAGAACTTTTTTGCTTATTTTTTAATTGCTTTAAAATTTGGTTGATAGAAAAAATGGAACTCTGTTCATTTCATGGAGGAAACGTCAACTGGTACAGCCTCTAAGGAAAACAGGATGATGAGTCTACAGAAAATTAACATGGATGATGAACACATTATGTTAAGTGAAGTAAGCCAGTGACAAATATTGTATGATTTTGCTTATACGAGGTATCAAGAATAGTCAAATTCACAGAAATAGAAAGTGAAATGGTGGTTACCAGGGGCTGGAGGAAGGGGAGAATCGGGGGCTATTTAATAGGTAAAGTTCCAATCTTGCAAGATGAAAGAGTTCTGTGGACGGATGGTGGTGATGGTAACACAATAATGTGTATGTCCTAGGGATACCTGGGTGGCTCAGTTGGTTAGGCGGCTGCCTTCAGCTCAGGTCATGATCCCAGCATCCCGGGATCAAGTCCCACATCGGGCTCCTTGCTCAGCGGGAAGCCTGCTTCTCCCTCTGCCTCTGCCTGCCACTCTGTCTGCCTGTGCTCACTCTCTCTGACAAAAAAAAAAAAAAATAATAATATGTATGTCCTAAATGACACCCAAGTGTACAATTAAAAATGGTTAAGATGGGGGATGCATGACTGGCTCAGTCAGTAGAGCATGTAACTCCTTTTTTTTTTTTAAAGATTTTATTTATTTATTTGAAGACAGAGATCACAAGTAGGCAGAGAGGCAGGCAGAGAGAGAAGGAAGCAGGCTCCCTGCTGAGCAGAGAGCCCAATGCGGGGATTGATCCCAGGACCCTGAGATCATGACCTGAGCTGAAGGCAGCGGCTTTAACCCACTGAGCCACCCAGGTAGAGCATGTAACTCTTAATCTCAGGGTCACGAGTTCCCATGTTGAGTGTAAAGCCTATTTAAATTAAAAAAATTTTTTAAGTGATGTAAGTTTTATGTGATGGGTGCTCTACCGCAATTAAATTAGTAATGAAGAAATATATGACTATTCAAAACAAAAATAACAGTAGTGGGGATTATTAGTAAAACATAAAGCTGATACATATATGGCAACAAAAGCATAAAAGGGAGGAGAAAAAAGTAAAGTATTCTAAGATTTATACATTATTCATAGTATGGAATATATTGGAAGGTAGACTATGATAAGTTAAAATTGCACACTGTAAACCCTGAAGCAACCAATTAAAAAAAGAGAAGTATCGTTAATAAGCCAAAATGGAGATAAAGTGGAATGCTTAAAGAATACTCAATGTATCTAAAATAAGGCAGGAAAAGAGAGAAAAGATTAGGTAGGACAAATAGAAAAGCAAACAGAGGAGTGTCTAGTTGTCTCAGTCGGTTGAGCCGACTCCTGATTTTGGCTCAGGTCATGATCTCCGGGTTGTAGGATCAAGCCCCAAGTCAGGCTCCATGCTGGGTGAGGGGCCTGCTTGAGACCCTCTCTCTCTCTCCTTCTACCCCTTCTCCTCCTCTCTCACACTCTCTAAAAAAGAAAAAGAAAAAAAAAAAAAAAGAAAAGCAAATAGAAAAAAAGGGGCAAGATGGGTAGATTTAAACCAAACCAACCAAATCAATATTGATATTAAAAGTAAATGGTCTAATCACTCTAATTAGAATGTAGAGATTGACAGACTGGTTAAATAGAAACAATTATATGCTGTGTACAAGATACACATTAATAATAAAAATATGGAGTGGGCACATTA